AAAAAATTAAAAATGCACTGACTGTGTATCATGATTTCAGTGAAATGATTCTTACTCCGGAGACACACACAAAACGTATCCTATAAAATCCAGATTGTAAACGCAAGTGTGATTAACAATTTCCATAGTACAAGCGACAAGTTAAATGGTAGTCAGTTATGTTGCTGCAACCAGAGTTGCATATCCAAGGCCGCGGCCAAACTTTTAATAATCAAACAGCATGGCCTTTGACCAAGTCTTATTCATTATAATTCATTGCAATCTTATGGAAATAATGATCATGCTTTAAATATAGACTTTGATATCGCTTCTAAGCAATCTGTATTAATTTAAAATGGTTTTTGAGACGACTGTGAATTGGACTGGATTTGATAGATCAAATACAACTTTTAGGGATAAATGAGCAAAGAGAAATGAAATGATGAATAACAAAATATGATAAGCCCTCGGGGGAAGCTTCCTCAGGAGAGATATTCTTATGATCGGGATGATCACGACTTTCGACAGTATATATATGTAGCGCACCTAAGATAATAAAATGGAATTTTGAAAGGAATTAACAATATAAATCTTTTAGTTCCATTGAAATCTCATGTTCTTAAATGTCAGTCACAATCCAATAACGACCGTCACATAATACCAAGGCAAGACCCCTGCGGAAAAACGTTGTTCAGTCGCGAAGAAAGACGAACGAGATTACGCCTGTTGAAAGGCCGTGTAAAAGAGAAAGGGGTACTCTGCGCGGAAAAACGTCATTCAGTCGCGCGTTGTAAAGGCCAGCTTGCACTGTTCCGACGTCATTCCGCGGAGGCTGAAAAATCGGAAAGATTTGTTTTTGTGCTGTGATACTGATTGAGTTTTTTCAAACCGTACGCTGGGCTAGACCATTCCGCTTGATGGTCACGAGTTCGCAGATGTCAGCAATTTGCATCAAGCTGTTCACCTGGCGTATTAGCTCTAAGTTTATCGACCTATTTCGTCAGCTGATTGCAGCATGTGTCCTAATTGTCGCAGACGTGGCGTTTCACGGGTTGTCAAGTCTGGTGACATGACATCTTGGCCAAAGACATTTGTACCGGTGTGGCACACTGTTTTATAGTAATTACACATTCTTATTTGGTTCACTATAACCTATAAGACTGCTTCTATGCTTTACATTTCACACATTCAAAATGCATCATGTAAAGCCTCGGTCACAACCGGACGCACGAATTTCAGGGTCGATTTTTGGTTGTTGCGAAGGCCGTGGAGGTCGCAGAGGTAAAGGAAAGTCTGCCTTGCGAGTAGCAAGGGCCACATGAGATTTCCTTTCAAGCAGGGGCGCTAATTGCAAGGAACGATGGCCGTGGAAATTGTACTCAAATCTTGACTTTGTCTTGCGTGGGACGTGAGATTCTGCGCAAAAATTGGACGCAAACAGCCCGTAAGAGCCCGTACGGCCGGTTGTGACCGAGGCTCAAGACCACATTATTATTTGGATCATATGTGGAGTTTGTGTGAACCGTAACACAAGGGCACTGACGCTCGGTCACTTTCGGTCTGACTTGCTCATCCGTATGATGTTGCAGAAGTAGCATGGTTATCATATTTCTTACACGCTGTGTGTCTATTCTGCACAAATAGTTCTGTTCCACTGCACTGCTTTCCGTGGTATCTGCGCGAGTGTACACGGACCCGTATAAATCAAAACCTGCTGACGGTTTAAATTATTTGTGTGAAATATATAAATTATTTATAATATAAACTCCCATTTATATATAGTGTACATAGTAGCTGACAAGTTGCTTCATATTAAGTACATGTCTGTCTGAACTTTCGGCCTGTTTGATCAAAATGCGACAGCAGACCCGGCGTGTATTACAAGGGGTGGCATTCTGCGTGTTGTTTGTGGGTGTGGCTGTGTTTATGAGGGTGTTCTTTCAATGGAAGGACTACAACACAACGCTGAGAGAATATGTAAGTATTGCTTGATTTAAATACCATTTTCAGTGAGGAAACTGTGACACGTGCTAAAAGTTGTTCCTTATTCCGAATTCTTCTTATGTTCTCGGTCATTAGACACTAGGGAAGATAATATTCGATCATTGTAAGACCGCCTTCGCAACCAGTTGATCCGCAGTCTTACATTTCTGGCCTACTTGAAAGCTTGCAGCATTATCCCCTAATAGACACTGAATAGATTCCCTGCGGGTGGGTTGGGCATATTTAATCCGCAGATCTCTAAGTTCGTGGATCAGCTTTGGTTGTGAATGCGGCCTAAATGAACCATTACTTTTTATGCTGAAAAATACCGATTTTGTTTACCCACAGTCCAATATAATACTTTGTGACCTACCATTACTCTGAGAGAAAAGTGAACTGAGATAGTTACATGGTATATTATTCTAGATCGGCAACCCTTCACTGGTGTCTCAAGAAGGAACCGAAACCGACGAAAAGGTAATAAATCCGTCAATAGAGATGGCGACCACATTAACTGCTGACGTCACTACTTTGACGTCACCGGGTGAAGTGACCAAGTCAAAACCCCCAGTTTCGGCAACAACTAAATCCCAGAAACCACTAATAGTGGACTCGACTAGTTCTGCTCCAACGTTATCAATTATTGATTATTCATCGTCGACACCCATGGTTTCAACGCCAAGCTTAAAACAAAAGAGCGATTCCCTCAAGGTCCCTGCGTCTTCCACTTCTGATAAATCCGAAAAACAGCCAACCGTTTCAAAAGAGAGGGTAAATGACAGGCTGGACACTGAAGACGAAAAGGCCACTGCTCTCAGACAGGATTCGGTGAAGTCCGTCGACCAGGTCAAGACTGTGAAAGGCGACACTGTCAGAAAACCACTCAAGCCTGGCCCCGTCAGTGTCCAACCCGAACAGAAAACAATCATTCAAAAATCAACAAAAGACGAGCAGGTAAAACCAACAGTTGTCCAGAAACCAGCCAAGGGGGACAGACGACAGCCTGCCGCACGCCAAACGCCTGTCAACGCTGCAACGACCAAAAAGCGTGCCCCAACTACTCGAAAGGGACCTAGAGACCTTTCCACTCAGCGCCAAACGCGTAGTCCTACGACTCCAGTCCCCTCACCGTCCCACTTCGGTGTGATTTTCGACGAGTTCCATCCTCACTTTCAGTTTCATGACGATAACATCCACATGGTGGCGGATCCCTCCAGTACGCGGGGCAAGGCAGGGGACTACGATGTTCTAGAGAGAGATTATTTCAGGTACATGGGGCCCGTTTCACAAACTAACTTTAGCCAGCACATTGGTCTAAATATTTAGACTATAAATGTAATCTGCTTCACTTCAAAATAAGTCCCAAGTTAAATGAAGTTAATATTGATCTGATTCCTTAAAGCAGACGATGCGTCTTCCTTAATTGTTATAAAATAGGCGCATGATTTCATTTTATGGATCACTATTACTAAATTATATGGGGTCCAAAAAATACTATTATTGGTGCAAACTTTGATACCAATTTTCCGTCTTTAATTACTTTGTGAAACGGCTATCTGGGACATTTTCATTTTTTTATTTCTTCAAATTGTATTAGTTCACACAACATTGAAAGACCATCACGATCGTTTTGTGTCGAGGACGAATTACAGCTGGGACATTTGCAATCTTCTTTTTTCTTCAAATTGTAATAGTTCATATAACAATGAAATATACCATGTGTTTTTTTCCGAGGACGAATAAAAGAGAGACCTCACTAAACATAGTTTCGGACAATGAAAACACCTGTAAAATTACTTAAGAAAGAATGTGACGAATTCTAAACCTAAACCGGTCGATCGTTATGTCTGTGTCTGGTTGTGACTGCCAATTTGATTGTATCGTTTGATACTCATTGATAATTAATGGTTCGAAACGTCATCTTTTTTGTATCAAAATCACTCAAAGAAGAGTTGATAAACGTCAAGATGTGAATCAATATTTGAATACATAGCGCCTTAAGTCCATTGAATGCAATACAAACATTTATCATGCAGGTGTTCTTAACCAAGAGACAAGGCATATGTCAATAGTGTTTAACATGCGATAATCTACATATGCATGGTACCTATACTGTTTCAGTGATTATTTTTATATTTATTTATTTTTATTTTTTACTTTCGTTTAGCTGGATGGAATAGAATAAACGCCTCGCAAGCTAGAGCTTTTCATGTGCATATTCAAAGCACTTCAAAGGTTTTCCACCCCTGGCGTTTGAGCTTGTTTTAGGGAGAATGAAACACGATTCAACGTTTCAATTCTTTGTGGGGACCCCATACCCAATGCTACTCACAGCTACAGACCCTTGTCGATGTGGGGCCGTAGGGGAAAGGGGTTTGCGTGCTCTTGCATTCCTGTAATCTTGTTTAAATGGTACTTTTTGGAGAGATTTGTTAATGGAGCAACAAGCTTTTGTGGGGAAAGCTTGGCATGCTTAATTTTGTTTTGAAGGAGAGTACATATAGCGTCCCCGCCAATTGTTGCACAGTTAAAAGACTCCCTACTAAGCCTGTCAGTTTTTCCTCTTAAAGGTATCTCGCTCGAATTCAGTTTGACTGCCGTAGACGGGAACCAGCAGGAAAAGTCGACTACATAGATGACAGCTGGGAGCTGTGTCAAGATCCGCCATACGATCTAGTCAAAGACAAGTGCTTGGTGTATTCCTTCGAGTAAGATTTTACATATTTTACATATCTCAAATTGATTTAAATGCTTCTAATTCACATTCATATATATATTTAAAGATGTGCAAAGCACACAGATAAACAAGAAATGACTTGTACGTTGGCTTCAAAATGCACGTTTGGTTGTTAATTTTTTCCATTCACTATTTTATGTTTCTTTATTATTATTTTCAGAATCCATGGCGATTGGTCATTTGACGATTTTATGCTCAACCAGGGATGTACGGTTCACTCTTTTGATTCTAGGTAAGTTACATTAACAAGTCTCTGTGTGTATTTGTTATCTTAGATTATAATCTTAGGCCTAGTCTGTTATTAAACGATACCACAGCATATATTTAAATACAGACATTTATCTACTTTTGTCGCAGTGATGTTAATAAACATGTTTTCAACGCTTTCTGCTCTATCCAATTTTAAGTCACATCGGTTAGGCGTGAATCAGTTTCACCCACATGGTATGTGGCTTTAAATTTTAAGAGAAAATGTATGGATTTTTTTTTTTTTTTTTTTGACAGTTTTGACATTTCAGTATTATTATTTTCTATATTTATTGTCACCATTTACCTGACAAGAAAAGGATCCATATTTTGCATCTGTGCGTATTCAGACAATATAGGAGAAGTACAAGGCTAAGCTGCTTTGAAATATGTTGCTAATCCCTTCTATCTGTTGCACAACAACAAACATGTATTTAAAGTTTTAAAAACAGACATGCGATCAACATATAGCCCACATCAATGGTTTCAGTTGAATCTCTCCTTATTGCAACCCATTTGTTTACTCTGTGCCTGGTGACTGAATAAGGTTGCTCTTTAAAACTTAATCAAAAATTCATAACCAAGCAACAAATGTCGTGTGTGTAATCATTTACATACAATTTTCAGTATGAAATTTCCGGAAAAAGAACGGATGCCTAACAACTGGTTTCATTCGTTGGCGTTGTCAGGTGAAAACAACAGTAAACAGAAAACTGCCACACTAGGGGCTATTATGGCAAAGTTGGGTCAGGAAAACGTAAGTCCCATTTATTTCATACATCATGAACATTATTTTACTACTCAAATGTTTTATGTTATCATCTTTATGCCATTTGCATTAATTACATTTCAATTAAAAAACCATGTGCCTTTCTTGGTGCATATGCTGCAGTCCGTAGGCAACATGCATCTTTTTCTCGGTGCATATGCTGCGCAGCAGTCATAACGTAAACAGGTGAGACATGCATGATTTCAAGTAGAATACATGCAAAGGTGTTAAGACCATGTTCCACTTATGTATGCAAATGCATTTATATCTTTAAGGAAAACGACTAAAAATTGACTTACATGTACAAGAATGGAGTTGCTAAACTGTCCGACGTCTAATACTTGTTTTAATTGCTTCCAGAGGGTGTTAGACTACGTTAAAATGGACCTAGAGGCAAATCATTGGGACGCCATTCCTACGGCCATTCAAGAAGGCAGCCTTAGTCATGTTAAGCAACTGGGGATAAAATTCCAGGACAAACCAAGCCAAACAAGGGCAAGGATGCTGGAAATGCTTTATAAGCAGGGTTTTCGTATTTACTTCACAAATTTTCATCGGCGAATTCAATCTACGCAGACTTTGAGGACTATATACGAGTGCCAGGAGGTGCATTTTGTTAATATTAACTTTTTGAAGTTCGATGAAGCTGAGCTCTAAAGGAGAGGATTTTTATTCTCCAGCGGTTTTCCAAATGTCAACAAGGTTGCCATCATCATCATTATATATCTCTGTGTCTTCTACACTTCTACACTTTTTGACTATGTGGAGGCTAGGAGCAATGTTGGATCCCGGGAAGAACACTACGGTCACGAGTCCCATCCCCTCTTAGTTTCTTTAGTTTACTAAAAACAAAATACCATAACGAGGGAAAGGAAATAAAAGCAAGTCTTCATTCCATCCATGCACCCTATATATAAAAGCGAGATTGTTCAGTCTCCGTTTTACATTTGTCTTACTTTATTCGGCTTTTTCTTTTCATTTTTGCCTCTTCCCCGTTCTTACATGTAGCAAAAACCCGGGGTCCTTCTGTGTGGTTTTGTCTGTTGTCTATAAGATTATTAACTACAGATTAACTAAGATTATTAACTTGAAAATAAACTTGTCTTCAAGACTCTGTGCGTTTTTCGTCAATTCACTATCTTTGTGAAGACGTCAGATATCAATGGCTGCTGCTCGTACCAAGGTATCACCACAAAATCTTCATTGGTTGTCTAAAAGCCTACGATGAACAGATCGAAGCCTTATATCGAGTTTCATGTTTGACAGGCAGATATCAAGTTGAGGGAAAACCTTTAAAAAGCACGTATCCTAACCAAACGCTTCCACCTGATGAAATCTAAATCGCAAGTTTTAAAAAAGGAGATTTAGTGCCTGTATAGTAGCCGTAGCCAGCACTGCTTTAGGCGTTTCGCAATTTTACAATACTATAGCGCTGTTGAGATTGTTCTGGCAGTGTCCTTTAAAAGAGGGGAAAATATCGAAACCCAGAATGCAGTGTACAACCTAACCAACTGCTTTATGTGCAGCCGTTGGTCAGACTGTTAGATGTGCTTGTTAGGAAAATTGGGTAATTCTTTTTCATAACTCTATTTCACAAGTAAGTTCGAGAAGCGCCTTGATATATTCACCTAAATCGGTTCATTCGCGGATTTCTAAAAACAACTTCCCACAAAAAGAATAGGGATAATCAAATAAGGTCCGATTGATAGATAGATATTCAAATATTTACATTTTCTTGTGTTGAGATAACTGGACTTTATTTGGGTTATCAATATATCCTCTGAAACTTATCAACAAGTACTGGGTATTTCTATAAAACAAACCAGTTTTTTAAAAGACAAATTTTATCACAATAAACTCGCGGATAATTACAAGTGCATCATTCAAAACATAAATAACACGATAGCCCTAGAATTTTTTCTCACATTTCATANTAGAATTTTTTCTCACATTTCATAATGTTTTTTTTTTTTTTTTTTTTTTTTTTTTTTTTTTTTTGGGGGGGGGGGGGGGGGGTCATTTTATTGTTATTAGTATTATTATATTTGTCTTTTACTTTACTACTACAAAATAATAAAATTCTGTTGTAATGAATTGTTTCACAGCTGTTGTTGTACACAACATGTACATTCATGAATCCTTATTACAATGTTACATGGCGTTTTAACTTAAAGCTTTTAATTAAAATGAAGGCTTGTCCACGCGCTTACAGATTTAAATTGGATTGCATTCACACTTCAAACAGTTAAACGGTGCAGATATTTTCCAAAATTGCAACATTGAGACAGGTAAGTTGACGGTATGCATAGTTCTCAGACCCTTAAAGCCAACATGATTTAGTAGAAATACCAAAAACATGAGATAAGTGGTCTTTTAGAAAATGTTTCAGGTATCGGCTAAGATTTATCAAGAAGTTATAATAACTTCTTGGATTTATACAGTCTAAGCAAAGACCGTCTTTCGACTAACAACTGGGGGATGGTCATATTTAATAGTTTAAAAAGCCCTTAGGGCAGTGGTATCACGCCAGTGCATACGAACATGAACTAGTGCAGTCCCTTAATTCTCATTATCTCTAATATGTGTTGTAATTGAGAGAGAACCAGCTCAGCACTGTGCCACCTGTTTTGTACTTAAGTTGGTGAGCTCTTTGACCCGCCGTGATGTAAAGACTAATAGTGTGATTGTGACAGAGAAGCAGAATTGTTTGTCGCAATCTTACTTACAATGCCCCTCGCTCAGTTCTCGTGCTTTACTCATCAATAACAATGTGAAAAAAGAGATAGATATTTAATCAAATCGCACTTGTCATAATAACAATAAATAAACGAATTAATTATTCGACATTTTTGCTCGCGATGTACGGAGAAGATTACCAGAATGGCTCGTGAAACTGACAGCATGAATTATCTTTGTAGACACTATCTTTCTCGTTCTCTTTCTGTCTGTATTTGTGTACATCAAAAAAGTGTCTTTCATTCGTTATAATTGCGATTATCGATGTAGCGGAAGACTGTGTATTTTGTTTCATTTCAATTACCAGTAAAATACGGTTTCTGATGCCATAATTCCCTAGAACACAGCAATATCAAAATATTCAACCATGTGACTTCTAAGGAGTCTTTTCCATTAGCTCCATTACTGGGAACTGGGTGAAGTCAACAAAAGCGAGCGTGTACATGTGTGACGTTGGAAACTGTCTAGTTGATCGTACTTTAAAACATAACTGAATTTCGTTTCGTAAGATTAAAACGCATTTGTACGTGTACAGTACATGTAAGAGCTTGGTTTCGGTATTGTTACAGTTGCAAGCTCGATCGTAAACCCAGTATTTTAAGAAAACCTTTTTTAATGTATATTTATATGTACATGTGTCAAAGTTCGTGATTTTCAATTAATATACTTATGAGAGTTTAAAAGTTGAACATTTGTGGCCCTTCAACATTTTAAGTTAAACCAACTTCCGCTACCTATTTTAAAGCGGTAGTCACTGAAAACTTGCAACTGCAAAAAGAAAAAAATAGAGGGAAAACGTTTATTACAATCATTATACGGCGGTAGCGTCTTTAAAATCGTCCAAATTAATAACAACGTGTGATTTTTTAGTGAGTATATTTGGTGATGAAGGCATGGACTCGGCGTTCTCCGTCTTGGCCAGTGACGTCATGGCGTTCAGTTTGTACGACAGATGTGGATTGCCGAGTTTCATGTTTTTCTGTCTGAGAAGTTCCAACTGGGTGTAGAGTCTCATGAATTCTTCCTACAAATGTAATACGGTATGTTATTAAAATAAATCATAAGCAAAGGCGGTCTCAAGGATGTGACTACAACATAAGGCCGTCTTAGCTGATGAAGGTCAAAACGTACTGTCAGACTCACTACTGTGAAGGCCACAAAGTTATAATCATTAATTTTTGTTTCTTTGAACGGTAATATTGGATTCTGTAACAATTTGATTCACAGTGACCACTTGGTCATTGTCAATTAATTAACTGATCAACTATAATGAAATATGCCTACCTGAACTTCCTTTTCCAGGGTAAACTCTTGCGGTTCCTCCGTCCTAATTTTCTCCCCGTTCATGGCACTTTCTTTTGAGTCCACGTAGGTGCATGTCTCAAGCATCGAGCTCTTCGTTCGTCCCGCCAGTAACATCTTACTATTTTTGGCGGTGGAGTTCGACCCCATGGATTCTCTGCCTTTGTATTTGAAAACTAAATACGCCTATAAAACATAAAAGAGATACATAAGTTCTGCGAGTCGAATAACTTTTTTAAAAAAGAATTTCTTCAACAGCAGCTTAATGATAAACATTAGTCATGCCTATAATCCATATTCATTGAACACTGTCTATACGCTATCAAATATAGAGGGGGGAGCTTACTGAAAAATCCCAAGTGAAAAATTTATTATCAACATTAGCAGCCACCAGAGGGGGTGCATACCTTTGATCCAAAGAGAAAGGCAAGCGTGACTGTTACAGTAAGCTGAGTGTGGACAAATAATACCACGTACATCACGTCCGGGTTTGCGATAGATTGGAGAAAATACCTGAAATGAAAACGATATGCAATACAGAATAGAAAAAAAATACAATTTATGTAATGTACTTCTACAGTTCTGAGGTTTATGAAAACTGCCTGAAACGAGATTTGAATGTCTTTCCTAATGCATTCTCCATGATTATTAATTAAGTAATTTTTTTATTATTGTAGAAATATATATGGGAATATATGCGTAAAAAAGTAAACTTTCCTTTTTACATATCCCAGAAGGAACATGTGGTGTAATGCCTGATGCCTGTACCAGTCATATGTACAGTATAGTGGATATATCATTTTCCACAATGCGTTTGAAATATTGGTACTGTGAATTTAGACTCCATGTGGAATACAGACTTTAATTTTAAAAGCGTCTACAAACAAAATGTATTTTTATACTGGATATTTAAATGATTTCAATATTCTTTAAGCATAAAAAAGGGAAAAAAGAAAAGTCAACTCACATAGATACGGTTAAAAACACTGATAACAAGGTCTCATTGTAGATAGCCCAGCTAATAAATCTGCTCTCGTTAAACTCGGATGGTGCTTTCCGCACGCTGATGCAGAGCCTTATACCCCAGAGCAGGAGGAGCGTCTCCCCGGCAGACCCGCAGTAGTCCCACACGTCAAATATGCAGAGATTGGCTTTAAGACCTCGCATGTCGTAGCCTGAAAATGCATATGTCTTTCAGTAGATTAATACTTTTAAAACAATCACGCTCTAGTGGATCGGGGGAGGGGGGTTGAAGGAGGCGAAAAAGGAAACATATACATATAATCCTCAATTCACGCGACATTTTGTATTTACATATAAAACACTTGACATGTAGGACAGTATGGGTGCGCTCACATTGAAACTATCGTACTGGGTAGTTCGAACTAACTCCACGGGGACTCTCGCTGAATGCAGTCAGGTTAAAAGATCCTCCTCCTGGCGTTGAGTAGAATGCAGAAAAGTTTATAGATTAATACGAATACGTTGGTAACAGGAGGAGGCGGGTTTTTATCTCTTACTTTGATTGCATTCAGCTAGAGTCCCTGCAGAGTCAATTCGAACGCACCCGTACCCCAGTACATGTAGTACCCATTTGAAGATGTCACCCTTTGAATATATTCACTTTATTGTTTGGGGCGGGAGGGGGTGCGTAGTGGAGGCCGGGAGAAGGGTGGGTGGGGGGAGGGCTGCGGGAAAACTTGTGAAGCCGACAAGAGTGCATTTTCAGTTAAGTGTTATCCGCACCATTATCTTACCTGTGATGACATTGGGTCGACCAACGCCCATCCGTATGCTTAAAAATGTGGCGAACACTGATACTATAAATATGAGTCTTTTTATTAAATCTGCATCGGATATCTTTATTCTTTGTGCTGAGCGAACCCTGAAGACAACAGAGATCCTGCAAAAAAAAATATCAATCAATTAATTTAGATGATTGAAGATGAAATGAGACAATTTCAGTAACTGTAACAACAATAATAAAGAACATTGCTTAGATGTTATGTGCACGACTTAAAAGGTTATAAAAACACTTTATATCTTTGATTGGCAAATATCTGTCGCTAAACTTTAGATATCATGCTTTTATCTTATTATGTGTTTTTCAATAGCATATGCCATTCACCAAGTTCATATCCAGTAAAATCTGATAAATAGGCCTCCTTTTTTAGAAACTTCATCAAAATAAGGTCTAAAATTCTGGCGGCTTTAGATTAAAATATGTCTTTACCTCCACGTTTTTAAAAGTAAGGCACCATATAAAATAGAGAACCCTATTCCTCTGCACCACAGTCGCACTGAACAAGCTATTTCACTCGGTGGGAAATAATTAACGATCATCTGGAATGAAAATAAAAAACGATTGTTTAAATTGGATTAAATTTTTTGGGTGGTGGTGTGTATTCTGTATGTTTCTGTGCCAATTATTTCAAATAAATGTTCATGACATTGGTAAACACAATTTAGTAAATTGATTGAAAGTCATAAGGATAGGGTAGGGCAGAATTTTTTTCACACTTTCGCCTAGATGAAATATTATGTTTTGTATGCGAAGTTAAACTTTTTTCAGATCTGTACATGTCTTACATGCATGCACTATTAACCGATTGTCTTTTAAAGTACAGCACTGCATTAAAAAAAGACCTTGGTAAAATTGACGGAACAGCTAGGAAAATCGTCACATTAGATAAAAGTATACATGTATTAGAATAATGAAGTCCAATAACAAATACATATATGTATGGTTGTGTGACAAACACGCAATTATTTTACAGTAATTAATAAGACATATCTAAAGTCACGCGATCGACAAGTAACTAAATAAATCTAAAAAACTAGCACCGATTTAATGCGTTACTCATATCTCTTGTCGCAAGAGAACAATTACACAATATAAAAACATGCTTCCGCCGTTAAATCGAACTGGCCGTTGTTCGTCTATTTAAACAGTTATCTGAGCCGCGCCGTTGATTAATTTAAATGTAAACGGACAGTGTTTTTAATTTTGTAGTCAGAAAAAAACGAGGTGTTTAACTGTGTGTGTACTAGTTGCAAACGAGTCGTCTACCAAATGTGACACACAAGAGCGTACTTATATCTAATTTTCTCTTGTACACACTCTGACAATAGAAGTGTCACCCCCTGAATCAGAGTAATCAAAGTTATTAACCTGAAGAGGCGGAATATAAGCAATGTCAGAATATCGATACAGTTGAATTGTTCAGTCAAAACCGTTTCTTTTGTGAAATTTGATGTTAATAAAATGATATTAGGAGCATACCATTCCACAGTCATTTATCTCCCCCATAGTATTGGTTCAGTAGGGTGACACTTCTGTTGTCCAGTGTGTGTATGTCGCATACAAGGGATGTCGAGTAGTTGTAAGTGACTTACATGTGTACCTCACAGCTGGCGCTTCGAACAATAGGATGAACTCACCGAGCAGTATTAAAATACAGGAGAGCGTGAAATCGAAATTGCCATTTTTCCTATTGTTCGAAGCATTGGTCGGTGGATAAATATTATTACCTGACGTTAACTGCTGCAAAGGTAAAGTAAATACTGCAATATGCAAGTGAAATCTTGCTAAGAGAGATGCCCCCATTATGTACAGGTCTCAGAATAACGTGTGTACAGTTAAATGCGGAACATTGCATGACCTCATTGTTTTACCCCTGAAAATGGGCCGCACCAAAAGTATTATAAAACAATAGAACAATACCGGACGACACTGGGAATCATGGTTAATACAAATACTTAGAGGTTAGAGCTATAGTCTTATTTCCGATGTCATTAATGTTTCGACCACATTTGTAAAAGGCAAAGTGGGCGAATTAATAGCACAAAATGCATAAACAGATTTTACACGTTTTCGTACTGGGTCGATGCCAACTTCATTTCATCGTCTTTCTCTTAGACGCATATCCAAGCACATTTTTACTTCATTTCTTCAAGTTCGGATGTTCTCGGCGGAATCCATAAAAATCTGGCGTCATTATAAACATATTATGTGTGTGGTCTTTGGAAATATTTGACCGCTGGTAAGCACTGCCGTATGTTAAAATGTTTAAAGATTGGTGAAATCAAGTCAATCACGAAAAAAATGCTTTAATTTGATACAAAAATGTCCCTGAGTACCGTGGAATCAACTACTCAAATCCATCAATATTTACATATGTTTAACTGACAACGAAGGGTTGGAGTTTCAAACGTTCCTTTGTCGTATCTCACTTTTGATACAAACAAAACGTTGTTTATTCTCTATACCTCGATAATAATCACGCGTATACCTACTTTCTCTCCGTCGTCGTACTCCAAAGCTCTTCCATCCTAAATTGTCAATCAAATATTCAGTGTTAGAAAATCTCTTAAAGCGCTAGTTCACACCTCTTGAAAAAAATTCTTTTTTAATTTTCTATTACGTGATATCTGGAAAGTTCACTGAGTCCAGTTTGTAACTATTATCCATATCATGAAAACGTACTTTTCAATTGTGAAATCAACCACTTGTGACGTGAACATTTTTCATTTTCACCTAATAACAATGTTCGCACTTGTTGACTCTTCAGAGAACTATGTTTGATAACTTTGTAGCCTTTTACTCAATTGAATTAACTTGGCTTTTAAATTTGCCATTAATGTAGTTGCAACCAGTTAACTGTACAAAACAAACATTGGCGTTGAAAAGAGCCGTTCCCTTTTTTTTTTTTTTTTTTTTTTTTTGCATTAAATCTGTACATAATGCTCTATTTAAGCGCGTTATGAGATAATCGATATTTCAAATCCTTTCATTTACGGCCTTTTAACTTTGCTAATGCGTTTTCCATGAAATGTCTGTTTCTTGTCAATTATTCAATCTGTTTTCTAGATAATGATACGACCAGCGTTCAAAACTGAAAGAACCCGTTCGCGCAATTTCATTTTCTCGTATTTTCAATGCAGATTGAGAATTCCTGATGAATTGCCCTTGAAAAAAAACATGAAAATAGTAAAACATGGTTAAAAAGCTATTATGTGTACTCTTATTCTGTCAAACCTTTGTCCATAAAATAGTTCCATAATGCTCATCGGTAACGTTCTAAGGGTGCCGTTTCATACAAAGTCGGGCGCCAGTTTATGGACTAAAAGTTCGACTTACTAAGACGTAGCCGTCTAAGATACCTTTAAGAAACATTCTTAAATGCCGCTTACCTCGTTTATTTTCTTAGTCTCTTGATCAAATTGGTCTTGACGGAGATGTTTCATTTAAGCGTGCCAGCAACGATTGATGTGGGTCAGTCATTCTCAAAAGCTCTAAGACCATATCAAAAAGTCGACTTTACGTAACGGCTGTCCTATTTAAGTGGTCTAAGCTTAACCCAAGAACTGCGAAATGGGCCTCAGTAGCAGCAAGCTGACTTTGAGTACGATACTATGAACACACTGAAACTCAGAGTGCCAGCCACTGCATCCAATTTAAATTTTTCATACCCCCATTACTAGTAGCGTAAAATTTTTGCTGAGTATTTTAGGACAAAATGCTATTGCAGGTATAGGGCCAAAGGCGTCGTACTTAGTAAAGACAGACACAAAATTAAACTTAAAATTAGTAACGGTCTGTGCAATATATGCTTGTGCTCCACTTTCTCTCTTTTGAGGCCAATGTGGCATGTGTGAAGACGTTTCACATTTATTTATTTATTTATTTATTTATTTATTTACTTGTTTGTTTGTTTGTTTGTTTGTTTATTTGTAACTATTTTTTTCATAAAGCAACCAACAAGTAAGAATGTCCACCACGCATATTGTATCATTATTCCAGTTTCTTCACCAACCGGAAAACGAAGCAGGGCTGTTTTTACAGAAGAGATAAAAATATCTCTGTTATTGCCGTAAATGTTATTGATAGCGTAATCAATTTATATTACCTTAAATAATTTTGTCCTTCAACTACGCATTTCACGATTCACCTGCTATTGAGCCCCATGATGGGAACCGGAACCGCAGCGCATCAATTCGCGTAATGGACAATTACGAACTACAAGCTGCAGTACATAAAGAGTTGGGATTTCCAAGAAATGGGGAAATGCTGTAATAATCGCCTGTAAAGTGTTGCATAAGGATGCTATACTAATCTATTTATGTTTTTAGCTATCGATTTCAATTGTCCTTGGGCGGTATCGTATTGTTTGTAACGGATGATCACCTGCGACAGTGATAACTGAAGTATTATTTAGGCAGCTTCTGGGACGGATTTGCCAACCCACCCTCTCTTTCTAAATCAAAATGGCAACCTACTGCCTGTGCCTTTTAGATACCGATCTGATTTAAGCAAATCTTTTTAGTATCTGGGATCTTCCAGTACAATGTTAACTATAAGTATCTGGTATCAACTTCAAAATTCATCGTCCTAGTTCTCACGAGTTTTTCTTTTTAAAAAAACCCATTTGTCCTGATTTGCATGACCATCTGGACATTGCGTTAAATTAAATTGGGTAACTGAGCCGAATGTTGGTGGGAATCCGGGTCAACGTTCATAGAGCACATGAACCGTCCGTGTAACGCGTGTGTAACCCAAACCGAGATATTGACGTGTGCATTTGCCTGTCTTTCGTATGACTGGACGGCAAAATTGGCTCAGGTGACCAAAGATAACACGCAGGCCCATGGGAAAGAGCGATTGGGGGATGCTGCACTATTAAGAAGAAAGAGCGATTGGGGGATGCTGCACTTTTAAGACAATTTATGGTTTTAAAGGCATCAATTTAAAGATTTGTGGTGAGGATATTACAACTTTTCTCGAAAGTCCCCAGACATCTGCTAATATAGGTTTGAAATACACATTAAAACACGTAGAACTAATTGTGGCAGGATGACGGGGTTGTGTTCTGTAAACATGGTCCATGGTACTGAAAGTTAAGGAACATTCTACATTTTGTCTCTACGTATGATACATGTGCCTTTATGTGTATTTACGTTTTGTTGCGTGTGCCAAGTGTTGACTGCATGTTTTCTTTTTCTTCAACATAGTGTATTCGCACCTGGTGATCTGCATTTACCCAATTTTTTTTTTCTTTTTGTAAAATACCCAAAAGTTATGCTCTTAAATGCCATAAATTATACTCAATAACAGCCCTGTGTTTTTTACGGGGACCTGTCTTTTAAAAACATACTACTTACCGGGCAATACAGGAAAAAAGCCCCTAACAGCATAATGTTTAATAATACCGGGCTGGAGGCCTTCAATACCTGTAATATAAAATAAAAGAACACAATATATTTTTTCACATACTTCTGCCCAACTTCTGTGTCGTGATTTACTTTTCAAGTGACTTTTTCATATAAATTGTTTTTTATATGAATCAGATGTAAAAACTGTTCGAGTATTGTCATCTACTTGGCGTGTAACAGTAACAGTAAATCATTTCATAAGGACAAGTTATTCTTCGGATTAACGTTAACAAACATGAAACACTGTTCATTTTATAAACATCTCATCTCTTTGTAAAATATATACAATTAACTATACCATGGTCAGTGAGATATAATGAGTAAAATATACGTGTTTATTAAGATCTACACTTAGGGACCATTAATGAGATTCCAAACTTCCGATCTACACAAAACAAGAACAGTCGCTGATTTCTGCAGAACATGTATTCAGTACATTGGACTACCATCGTCAACTGGATGACATTTAATTTCCCTTTTAGTGCATCTGCCGTTTATCGTTTTCGAAGATCTGCGTAACTTGCTTTTACAATAATTAATAAAAGCCGGATTTTTGTCATTCATTAATAACGCAAAGTGAAAGCGCAGAAATATGCTGCTTTGAGCCGATTGTAATAAATCAATAGGGTAAAATAAATAAACCGTGTGACAGATTGTTGTCGATGATGGGGCCAATCCATTACACGATTAGCCGTGCACAATTTCCGATTATCTTTCAAATCGCCCGCTACAATTAACTTACCGACTTCAATAAATCAAAGAAGCACGTGAAGGTCAACTTACTAGTTTTACTTTATAAGTCAAAAGGCAATCACTGGGTTTCACTCTTTTGATGCCAATCATCAAATAAATCCCTATTCCTGCAGGGGTACATGTACCTTCCCCTTCCCCCCTCCTGTATAGCCCATACATCTACTGGTAAATGATATACTATTTATAAACCAGGTAATTCAAACGCTAACTTCTACACAATAACAGCTTGGAGCACTAATAGGTCGAGTTAAAGTCTCTTAAGGAATTACGAGCACAGCAGAAAGCAGGACGTTTTGCTTGGAACTGCCTGCACTGGGACTCTTGGGGCTGGTTACAAAAAAAAAATTAATCCTCCAAACTGAAAAACTGATCTAAGCTTTCAGACCAAACATTAGTTCTACTGAGTAATTCAGGTCACGATGGATTCATAGCAATCCAGTGGACGTCAAACAGAATAATGGAGATGGCTCTCTTGTTTCAAAACCAGCGCAATGTTTAATTGAATTGGACTGCCAGCCGTGTTACGTAAAAAAATCCCATTCAAAATATCTGGGCTAATGTTTGTTTTCGAAACAGGGCCTTGAGTTTAGCAGTCGTCACAGTAAATGAGGCACGAAAAAAGGTATGCCTTGCACGGATGTCCTCTTCTTCCTGAAGTCAATTCAAATCAAACCGCTGTCCCCGCTGGTTACGCAAAATTAAGCTACAGATTTTGTCATTGCGCATTCGACTATAGACACAGTCCCTGGTATTCACTGGGGATTATCAGACGTACGGGGATTACACAATGCAATGTATTTGGCGGATACCCAAAAAATGAATCATCATTCCTTCAAAGCTTGCTCAATTTATCAAACAAGCCGTTGCATCACCCAGATATTAGTCTTCATTTATGACGGTATTGTCATATTACATTTTGTCATTGATTGTTCTATTGAATTCGGTTTACATAATGTTGCAACGATGTGATGTAAGGCCGTCAAAATTGTGCAACCATCGGTAGCAAGCAATGCAAAACGCTCTCATGCTAGGGATTGGTAAAAAATAACACTTCCTTTCCACGAAGATTCTGGATCATCACGTTAATGCAAATGTAAACTTTGTATATGCATTGCTTCTCTCGTCAATTTTCATTTTATTTTTAAATTGACTTATGGATCTAGGTTGTTAAAAGTCCTTTAAAGTTCTATTTTAATTATTGTGTCGGATGTCCTATTGATTGTTCTCTGGCGAACATACCCATTATCTCGTTAGAGCATTCTGTCACATCGCTGTCTATTCTTTCTTTTAAATACCTGTCTATGAAAATCTACAAACAAGCAAACTGTCAATGTGCAACGACAATATACACCATTATTGCCATATTTTCCAAGAAAAGCAGTGCTTTTTAAGCTGCCGCTAATGAGTAGTCCAGGATATTGGATTTCTTTGTTCATTTTGTTTCGATTTCACTTCCTGGAAATGTTCAAATAAGAATTGTTGAGTAATGAGTTGTCCCAGGAACTTAATGGCGAGAATGATATTTTCTTATTCTCTTAACAGAAGTGATTCTGATCTTTTCACAAAGTGAAAATAGTAATCTGTTCTACGTTTTGTACAATAACCGCCACCCTATCGGTTCACTTCTGTGCATTTGTTTAAAATGGAAAACTTCTCTTGGGTTAAAGTAAGACACTTACAATAGTGAAAAGTATAAAGATTGCATTAAAGATCCGCATCAAAGTTTCTGTACCAGAGGCAAGGAGCATGTTAATTAGATTTCAATATTTCCATAAAGTCGACGCTGCGACATGCAAAGCTTGCTGTCTTTTCTTTTTAGATGTCGCGGTGTTTTTTCTCAGAACTATCGTATCATCAAGTTGAGTGTTCCAGCCGTGGCAACTTGTTCTTTAAGTCTACCTAGATAATGTGGGTTTACTGCATGGACACCCGAACTCAGAAGATAAAATCCAAAAAGGCCGTCAATTAAAATCAATTTTGAATTTAAGCCAAAAAAATTAAAAAATTAAAACATTTACGTTTTATTCATAGGTCTATATTTAATCATATAAATTGGTGACTATCAAAGGCATGATCCAAGAGAAATATACGAAGATGTTATCGATTGGTTCAAGATAATACCTTGACGTCAGTGTTTCGTCTTGTAAATACTGCCCAGACCGGGACGCTACACATGAACAGTAATGACAGGATCAGGATAATGGTCCTCAGTACGGCATCTGTGGTGACGTAACACGGGCTGCTGTCGTCACACTCGGTACATCCATCGGCACACGGCAAACACTCGAACGACTCGTCGTAGACGCTGCTTGGATCTCCCTAAAATGAAAAAAAGTGTATTTTCATTTGTAATAATAATAATAATAATAATAATAATAATAATTTTTCATTTGAGTTTCATTAATTTATCCAGGGAAATTGATTTAAATCTAAACAGCTATGACCTTTTTTCAAAATGTAACATGAGCAGGAAGATGCCAAAGGAAAGTGCTCACCTGCCTATACATGGCATACCGTACACTCTATAGAGTCAAATACTTTAATTTCTAATATTTCAAAGTTTCATCCCGGGGGGAGGGGGGGTTATTTAGATAAGGGTAGATCGATTATGCCACTAGCTAGGGGACCTGGGGCACTAGAGTATCCGCAGTCGTTTGCTCACAAACTGTGGACATACGCGTATCTTTGAAAATAAGCGTGCCAGGGCTATACTTTTAGAACGATAATGGTGTTAGGCATAAAACGGGAAGCAATATCAATAACATGATTTATTTTGAATTGAAGTTTACCAATTTGGTATGCATATTAAACTATGTTAAGTTCTCTATAGGTAAAAAAAAAGAGAGGCATATGGCGCCAGTCATAGAAAAAACTAAAATTAGTCACAGAAAATATTCGATCCTGAGAATATGGATACTCCTACATGTAGAAGCTCAAGGCAACCATCAGTATATATTCCTCCATTTGCCGCCTACAATTAAGGACGGCGTGTTATTGGGCACTAAAAGGATCTTGACCTTAATCATCACTTGGCGATCTCTCATCGAATTATTAGCCATAGTGTTAGAAAGGCCGTTGACCGTAATGACCGTACATCAACAGTGTTTATTGAACGCATCACTGTATAAAATGAATCGGTTTTGCAAATGAGATATCATCATCATTTCCAAGAACGAAAAGATGCGATTGACGCATCGACTGTCAGTCAAAAAACAACTCAAGGAATCTCACACACAATTGATTCATTGTCCACTTTGATAGGTAAGGTCAGTAGCGCACTTTTGCACCATTCCTGCTCAGGAGCTCAATATATAATATCCGCCTTTAGCCAATTGTTATGAAATTGCTCGATAAAAAAAAACTTTTAAGAAGTAGAGGTTGCATAAAACAATTATTTATGCACTTTGGAAGGCAGTGTACGCATACCTGTACCCGTATAAATGGGGGTGATGTTATACATTAATATTGTTACTAGCGTTAATAGAAAATAGAGATATAGTATGATTGCGGATATCTTCATGACAGTGATGTACACGCACAACACGCACGCACACTGACATGAGCGCATGTCAGGGAATACTCACTCACGAACACAAACACACACATACACACACAAAATCAGTTCCATTTAAAATACAAAGCAAGTGTGATTACATTTCTTTTCTTTTCATACTCGTCTTCAACGTCTGTTCCGTTGAAATACTTGTACTCTGCGTTCTCGACAGGGAAGTAGAAGCCTTTCCGGCATTTACACAGGTAAGATCCTCGCCGGAAGCCCAAACCTGGCATCGGCTCGCACTGAAAAAAAAATGACTGTTAATCGACAAAACAACGCTTTTGCTGATTTTTTCGAAGTGCTTGTAAATCACGAACAACATTACAGTACAACAGTATTTACAAACTTTTGATATGAGAATTTAGGTAATAAATAATCGGTAATAATGAGAATTGAGTTACCTTGGCGGAGGTCTGCACTCATGATTGTTTTTCTAGTATTTTATTTTGTTTTATGCTGTTTCAATTTGCCTAACGGTACAACCATCACAGAACTTGTGTGATCAGTTAGTTCGAGTCAATGTTACATTATCTCAGCATAGTGGAAACAATCACGTTTTTCTATCCATCTCATCCGAGTGCTCTATTACGATTGCTTAGCAAACGTGATAACACAGGATATGCAAATAAAAAATGAACGGTTTTGATTCACACTTAGTTCATCCATCCTTCTTTGATCTACTATAATGTTGTTCTCTTTTATTCAATACTCTTCTATCTTTTCAGGAAGTTTTATCAATTTAAAACTTGTGTACGTTATTACTCCGCCGGTAATTGAAGGCATAAGCAAAAATCTGTTTGTCTTTGATATGAAGCAATGCAAACTTATCATCTGCTGTGATCACTCGGGTAATGACAAAGCGACTGTTATGAATAGTTAAGGGGTAAAAGGATAACAAAGAGTGATTAATTTTCGAGCAAACAGACGTTTAAAACACCGCTTATTGTAATCCTGTACTTAAAAGTACAGAAAACCCTTACATATTGAAATGATGGCATGCAATATTGACGTTTTTTTCCAGACCTTGATTATGTTTAAGTCACCAGTGGTTGGCCTGCACTACGTTTACGTTACATCTAGGGGTATTAACTGTAATACGTTGATTTCGGTCAGCGGCTGATGCACTGGGGATCGTATCACAAAAAAAATGCAGTTCAAATTTTGGTCTAAGCATTAACCCAAAATAGCGGTATTAGTCTAATCTAACCTGTTGTATCAGGTGTCTGGAAAACGACAGAGCAATGTTGATAGCAGAGAGATGATATTCAGCGTCCTCTGGGCCTCTGGGTGCAAAGCACTTATCCAGAGTAAAATTATTCCATCAATTTTGTCAGGTGGAAACACGTTTAAGAGAAACATTTCTTGACGTACGTAGATCGAGTTCTTAGATTGGTACAAACGTATGTCATCAAAACACCATTGACAGCTACAAAATACCAAACCAATTCCGGTACAACATTTTAAAAGCTATGTATACGTGTTGCTGTACTAAAGTAGATTAGGGCAACGGTATATACGGCTCACCTCAGAAGTGGGCTTACACCTTGCAGACCCCGCAAACACGTTCGTCTCTTTACTTCCTTCCGGTAGAGGGCACTGGTTGATGTCCACTTTCTGAAGATCTATGTCAATGCCACTTGTGCCCCTGTATGTAGGAAAATACAATAGTAAAAATGAATGAAATCAAAAGAAAAATACACCTTTGATACAATATACTTAGATCTATATTGCAAAGTCAATTTGGTCGACAACATTTATTTGACAAAACATGCGGTTAAATATCTCTTTGAAAAATAACCAAATGTCATAATTGAAGCTTATAACGTGTGGTCAAGAATTTTATATTATACACAGTGTCCAACTTGTATATTGAGCCATGAACAAACTGATATAAAATATGCTATTATCTGGGCATATTCAGGGTCCACGTCCCGCCAACAGAAGTACTCTGTAGCACACCAGCCAGCAATTAAACGTGATGACAACAGGATGCTTTCTTTGTTTAAACCGTCTTCCTTTTACGTTGCGTTCGTGTTGTTTTGTGAACTGCTATCACGGAATAAGCTCAAAACAAGCTTTAAAGGTACTAGCATCTCGTCGTCACGTTATTGCCGCAACATTAATTAAAAGCCATGCCATTTGAAAAACATTGAAGCGATACGAAGTGCTTGTGGTCATCCTAAACCTTTAATGTAGCTACTGTGATCGCAAAGTTAATCGTTGTTAATTGTGTATCATTAGAGCAATTGGCCAAACTATATCAAGGTCCCTGGAATAACTAACAGCTTGTGGTATTACAGTAATCCATCACACATTAACCGCGCCATTGACTTGAGCGTATGGCCATTGGCCTTATCAAATAAGGGATTTACGGGTCATTTAGCCACATCTGTATTTGCATAAATCTGGTACATTGGAGAAATGACCTTCGATAAATACACTCCGGTTAGTAATCACCTTTTTGTGACCGACTTATCTATTATATCTATATAGAAGGGTGGAAATGGCGGCAGAACTCGACCAGTGGAAACAAGAGACAAAACTCGGTTATCGTTGTCCTAGATATATACTCACATTATAGATGCCTATAGCAGTTATTATCGTTACGCAATTTCTAAGTTATGGATTATTGAAAAAAAGTTATTCATGTTGTATAGTCAATGATGCGATTGCCGTATCCAGAGCATTTCGATAACAAACCATATAGGAGACCCTGACACTTGATATTGCAAACACCGTCATGGCATTCTTCTCTAAGACCCCATTTCCATAAACATAATCGGTCTAGGTGGATTGACCCAACTCTGCGGGGACTCTCGCTAAGTGCAATCAGCTTAACTAAACGACACACCTCCTCGTTTCCAACGTTCTCGTATAATCACCAGCCTTTATGCATTCTACTTAACGCCAGGGGGAGGCATGTCATTCAGTTAACCTGATTGCAGTCAGCAAAAGTCCCGCAAAGTTGGGTCGAACCGCGTAGACCGAGCGGATCTATGGGAATGGGGCCCTAGTTACAATGTAGCCCACCGAACAATATCTAATGTTAGAACCGAATGGGTTCTTTACATCGATTCTAACGCTGGTAAAGACCTCATTATTCTTTGAGTTGACGTGTACTGTTAGACTTCATTTATCTTGCTATTTCATGTCTGTTACGCAGGCCTAATTGATTCTTACGTGAGTGTTCTTGCGGTGATTTTGTTTCATGTATCGTGAACACAGTAATAAGAGAATTACAAGTCGCGAGAATTACATGTCGTGAGATGATTGATATATTTTTTGTTTCTGAATAAGGTCGTTATCTATTAAAATTTGCACGTTTTTAAATTAAAAGTTTAATTTAAAAAACTCTTAAGGCCAGCGCACACTTGTGAGTCAGCAGCTTAAGTTGTGAGCACCGTGTCAAATCACTGGGTGATAAACCTTGTGATTCCCTGACATGTACCGATAAAACCTTCCTTTCAGCTTATCTTTATTTCAAATATACATTAAACTGTGAAAATAACACTGGTAGGTGACACAAGTTCGCGATATAGGACGTTGTCCACTGTTATAGCTCACGAACACACACTGACGCTTTCACTTGCCAGAAACAACGCAAATAGGCATATAACATGTTGCCCACTTGTGCCTTTGATAACTGATTACCTTAATTTTTTACTTACTTGAAGAAAAACGTGCCATTTTCGTATCCAAAGAAGGGCACGGTGTACGTGATCATCCAAATGTCCGCCCCCATGCAGTCAAAGTAAGGGCGACTCCAATGGCCGTCCTCGTAACTGACCAGCAGACTTTCATCCACTTCTGGGTCGTAATGGGCCGTGTCGTTGAGCCTCATCATCTGTAATCCTGCGCAAAAAAAAAAGATTTTTATTATGAATGAAACTCTTTAATGCAAAATTTGGTCATCTAAAATGCTTGCTTTTTAGGAGACAGATAACTAAGTTCGCCCACTAAGCTCTCTCTCTCTCTATCTCGCTGTCTCTCTCACTCCCTCCCGTTTGAATTTAATTATCACTGCCTGCAAATTGAAACAAATAAGACAGCAATGAATTACATCAGCTGAGCTATGTATTAAAATCACGTTAATAGTTCTTTTTTATTTCAAAAAACTGTTCAACTTAGCATTATAACTACTCTAACATTTGAACGGCTCGCTTTATTATTGAATCGGAAATAGCGGAGTGGCACTGCATATGACTCTGTTTAGCTATTGCGTTTAGACATTGGGCATTGTCAGAATAAACTTTATTGTAATTTCAATCAATTATGAGTAATAAATATAATGCATAAACGATGTCATCGCAGATGAGCGGAATTGGCAATTATGCAGCCAACCATGCAGTTCTGGTTAAAATGATATTACGCAAAAGCAATGGATTTGAACAACACGAAAGGAGCGGATGCCTAATTAATGCATTTTCAAATAAAAAGGACTAAGAGGGGATTGTAACTGAGTTCCAATGAATGAGAGTTGTATTTGAAGAACAATGAAACGTAGATTGGGCGTAAGCGACCATTATTCCTGTTTTATTGGTTGTTGGTGACCGTTTTCTCATTTATCGGCAATATATATGCGTCTTTTCTTAACGATGAATGAATAAAATCAAAGCCCGCTAAATTTTCAACCGTTAGCAAACCTCTGATGACGTGTATGCGTTTGCACTTTTCAACCTAACAAAAACTAAAAAACCCTACATGTAATTAGGTATAGCTATATGCATATTAAAAATAGTTGTGAACTTTTTTGCCCCCTATAGTTTGTGGATCCTCAGTTAGTCCTGTTTTGTCTCGCAGCTTGCAATAGTCCTTTGAACTGGACAATCTACAAGCTCGAAGGAAGAAAACGTCTGTTTGTGTGTGGTAGATGCGTACAAACACGTGACACGAAGTGTTTGACAGATACTATTAAACTAGGATCAAGGGATCCCAGAATTAAAGTACTGCACAGTATCTACCACCTTACAAAGTGCAACCCTGTAAATGACTGTATTTTCAGCAGTGTAGGATAGTGTGGACACATGTAAAATTCACCTGCTCAACGATGCATTATTTGTGCTCTTGTCAAGGGCATTCTCTAAACTGCACGCAAAGTAACAAACAAACATAACCCCTTCCCCCAAGGCAGAATAAATGTTCTTGATTGCAAAGTATGTGGAAAGCTTATAGGTCGACCATAGCACCCACTGAAGTTTCATTCTACCAAATGATTCTGTCAAGTTCGACCGGGTTTTCTAATTATGCAATGAAGGCCTTCTGCTATACATTGAACTTTAAACAGCGTGCATTGTAATCTGGCACATGTTTACCTGTACTTTTTTTTGCTAGGTAACTGCAGCGTTTTCCTCAGGAGCACAGGGCTCAAAGTCTGCAGTCATGTTGTTTTAGATATGGTGCAAGACGAAAATTGGACAAAACATACACAAGAGATCACGAAGTCAAATGTCAAAGAGAAAATAAGTGAAACGGTGTGCACCATTAAGGTACCTAATCGGTTTGAACTTGGTAAATACTCGATTTAATTTAGCAACACGTCCGTCTACGTGAATCATAAAAGTACCGAATGCCCCAATTGACGCATAACCAAAACAGAGTACAACCGTGATATACCGTTGTCCATAAACAGGGCGTAGCAACCTGCAGGTAAAATTGCAGGTTTCCCAATGTACCTCTACGTGCATGGCGGTTTAATGCAGCGTGTAGGTAATTTAATAACTCTTCATGATATATACAGGTTTCGTTTTGCCCTTAAAACCAGTAATTGCCCACCTGTTGCACGGACTTAAGGATATATATTATGAAAGGAAAAATAAGAAATGTGCACATAGGTATTTGCGTCATCTGGTGAACATTTGGTTTTGTAAAAGTACAATTCTATATAATAAATGAGGACAAGTCGAGCTGACATGTCATTTTCGTAACATGGCACGCTAATAATGAGAAGGTATGGCATATTTACAAAGGATCAATTAACTCACAAAAGTACTAATTTGTTTGAAATAAGAAATCTAATTGGACGGGGACGTGCGTCATTGGAATGAAACCCGAGCTTTTCCTCGGAAAAGTGTAAAGAAATACGGTTCCCATTTGTAACTGCATACTAACGTAATCACCAAGTTAATTACTGGTGAGTCAAAGGGACGTAACTTGTCTGCCCAAGGGAATAGTGTCCGGCGTTTCCGACGGACTGCTGTGGCATATGATCACGATCTTTGGTCTGCTCTGTTGCACATGTCGTACAATCGATCAAATTATTTCTTTTTGATAATGTAAACGTCCATTAGCCCATACATGTGATCGAGCCATTCCTTTTACCCCTATTTCAAGAAAAGATAAATGCGTTGCAAACATGATGTTGGCCCACTGCTTTGATTGCAGTGAGGCTAAAGGCTAAGCACGTGAATGTTCGATGGGGAACTATCTAAATCAGTTTTATTTCAGGGCGCCCTTATTTCGACTGTACCAAATTGATGTACTGGTCCGTGTATTCTCAGTAATAGTCGGTTCACAGTACTTCTGTTAATGTAGATTCTTAGCTTTTTGTTGATCAAAGAATCTAAAGCGCGTTGCTAAATTGAGTTTGACATGGCGACTTTTACCACTGGTATCTTTACAGTTCAGTTTCTGAGATATCTAAATAAGATACCCTTCTTATATAAAAGTCGAGGCATTTATTTATTTGGCCTCGTCATACTTCTGATTTTATTTAAACTCAAGACTTAAGTTTTGGACTTAAAGTTTAGATTAATTTTCGAATTAAAGTTTTTTATGTAAAATATGCCCAGTAAACTTCCATCGATTTGACAAAATCTGCCGCATAGCATGACAAATAGTTCTTCAAAATGTTCACCAGACGAACAGATTTCATTTTCTCCTTTCAGAAATTTCGCAAAAGGTAAACGAAGTCACTATTAACTTGACGTTACATATGATGTCACTGTCACGGCACTGCTGACAACAGAACAACAGAGGTCATATAGACATGCAGTGCAACATAATTTACTGTTTACTGTTCTCTGGAGTTGGACTTAATGTATCTGTTTTCGTCAGCACATTCCTGTTTTGAAGTCTGTTTCACAAAAAAAGATCTTAACACTAAAAGATGTTATATTTTTCGATCAAATTTTAATTTAGTCTACTTATGTCCAAAAATATAGTGACCAAATTTAAATGAAATATATATTCCACCCGTTCTACGACAAGGCACCGATATGACAGCCATGACCTCTCGTGTAAATGTTGCTCTATTTCAGTGGACCGCTTTAAATGTATCCTCAAACGAATCTGGCAAATGTTTTGTTCTATAAATTTAGATGAACTTCATGTCTTAGGTTCTTATATGTGAAACCATCCCCTGTTCCTTGGTCTATCCGTTTCTTATTGGAGGCAACGGCCGCGCCTCGGGATCAAAGTGTTACAGTGAGTTTCGCCCACCTCAAAAAGATGCTGATTGCTTTCTGTTCGTTAACGCCAAAACTTTACCTGATAGGTTTATCTTTGGTGACATTTGCAGTGCTAGAATAAGTGCCAAGAATTAATTGTGATTATCCTTCGTAATTGGATGATAGAATCAAGCAAGGTGCATGCAGGCAATTACCATTTGCATTAGCAATGTCGCTTATCTCTGGTGGGCAGGTAAGTTGTGGTGGTTTTATCTGTTGCGCATCATTGCTGCAGACTGTGTAATTATGTTTAGTTCACCGAAGGGAATTGATAAATAAATAATGACGATAATAATGATAAAAACTGTTTCACTCGTGATACATGAATTATGAAATATTTTGAGTTTTGCACTTATAGTTCAAATACTAGTACAGTACAAGATTGAAAGACGGGAGAATCAATTAAAACCCGTTAACATTATCTAATTAATTGAAATACTTGAACTAAAAAGTTTAATTGCCAATGACGAGAGGTATAAACCCAGTGTCATTGTTAATGAGGCACTATATCTAGCGTGTCTTTCATCACTTCCCAGCGCACGATTAGTGTGGTTAGCAACCGCAATCAAACAGGGTGTTGCATAAGCGGACATCTCATGAATTAAACCTCAGTCTAAATAAAAAAAAAACAGCACATCGCATCCAAGTGTCATGAAAAAGACTGATTCTGCTTTAAACGGCTCTTTAGTTGCATTTATTCTAAAGCAAGTGCATGTTGGCACAATGAATGCCCGAGTGAGTACAGCAGGTTTGAGACTGTTATATTTATTACTTCCCCATTCCCAGATCAAGTCTGACTGTACTATACCGAGTCAAAAAAAAGACTGGTAAAGTATTAGTTTGTTTCCCAGCCTGTTGACCAATGTACTTAGCCTTTAGAATTTAGAACGCACTTCGACGTCATGGCGTTGTAAAACTTAAAGTGTGGTTCTTACATCATGCAAGAACAAAACAGAGCAAGAACAGTGTGGCATATACACATGCACTAGTTCCATCATATAGGATTGAAGGCGAGGTCTGATCAAACAAGGGAATACGATGGCACACACTTAAACTTGAAGTAAAAGCACCACAGTGACTATCATCCACAGGGCTGGGGCATTTCCTGATATTTGTTCCTATCCAGACAGTGCACTTGGCCACCCATGCTGCCAAGGGAAAACATGAGTGAGTTGACTTAGAAAATATCGATACATTGAATATGACAACAAGGGAGTTTTTCACACAATAATCACATTTCGAGCCATGAAAATGTAAAATCAGGAAAAATAGCCTTTAACGATGGAAGACCCGAAACTGTTGACGACTACATTGAAAAACGTCTGGCAACCCTTAGCAAAATAATTAATGCTTTATAATGAACTATTTGCGACGCTCTTGGACACATCAATAAAGTGCAGAGCAGAA